ACGTGTGAAGCGAGAGACATGCCACTAGACCACGGAACTGCTTTACACTGGGACAAATTATATGCAAAGATGAAGTCACATACATGTATGTATTATTTACGTTCGATATTGTCAGAATTTTACACAATGAATGGTGTCTAATTTAACCTTTATTTAACAGTTCTAATAGATGTAATAAGAATGTAAAGTCCACCGAGAACCTGTTTTATACGTAATAACTCTCCTCATGACCCAGTGCTAAAAATAGCGACATGTAATACAATAAATACTAATAAAACAAACGGGACAGGATACTTTGAGAGGGGTAAGAGAGGTCCTAGGGTGTTTTGGTATAAAATTACATTGCAAAAGCTCAAAATCTTCTTGAAATATCGCCCGGAAAGGATAGTTTTTCATACAGACAGAATGTATAAATTTACGACCTTGAACTTTGACCTTTTGACCTCAAAATCAATAGGGGTCTTCCTTAGGCCACAGGGAGTTGTTATGTAAAATTTCATTGCAAAAGCTCAAAGGGGTCTCGAGATATCGCGCGGAAACGAAAGTGTTATAACAGACAGAATTTGCGAATTTGTGACATTGACCTTTGACCTTCTGATCTCAAGATCAACAAGGTTCTTCTCTAGTCCATAGGGAGTTGCTATGCAAAATTTCATTGCGAAAGCTTAAAGGGTTCTCGAGATATCGTGTGGAAACGAAAGCGTTACAGAAAGACAGAATGACGGACGGACGGACAGACCCAAATTAATATCCTCCACTTTTCAAGCGGGGGACAAATAGGAGCAGAGCGAGCACGGACCTCCGAAACATCAGAGGTGGGATCAGGTGCCATGGAGGAGTGCGCATCCCCTGCTGACCGGTCACACCCGCCGTGTGCTCCTTGTCATGATCGGGAAATAACGGAAAAATCCGTTGTCAATTCAGTGTATAAGTAATGGACTAATAATTAGTATGAAAAACGTCAGTCAGCATTTATCTCTATGATAAATTGTATTTGCTGACAAGGTCATTGTATCGACCATAGAATTTACGATATGATGACGTTTATATTCTTGTTTCATCAACTTGCTTGTTAATAATTTACCTCGTTTTAGAAATTGTTCATACGTAGAGCATGCTCTTGCGTATCGAATCAACTGAGATATATACACTCCGTATGCAGGTGATGAAGGTATATTGCTGCGTAAGTAAGGGAAGTTGACGACAGAAAAGTTAAAGTCATCGACGTTGCGCACGGTGTTGGTGTCAGTTTCGGTAACGTCAAAATGACGTTATTTTACGTGAAGTTCTAGAAAATTTATTTGACGTTACTTTTTTGCTAACATTTTTATGAAGGAAAAATAAAACCCCAGTAAATTATGCCGCCAATTATATAATTCAGGTAATTGAAAATACTTGTAAATAAATTATCTGCACCCTTTTGCATGCATATTGCGGGAGGAAAATAAAAGCATGGTTTGCCTCATTAAAAAAAACCTGGTAGAAATAACGAAACTTGTTCAACATCGCATTTTAAATTTACATGCTTTTTATTTTATTGAGATAAATTCAAAACAATTCCATATCATATCAGTAGGCTCTAGAACCTGTCCTTAGTTTTCAGTAAATTGTACGATTGTAGATATGTTGTTTATTTAGCATTGAATAATTTTTTTCGTTCAAAGTCCCATCCCATCTTGTAATGAAAATCTGATACATTTGTACTCACCTCCGACAACCCCTAACCGGGGAAGTTGACGATAGAAAAGTTAAAATCATCACGTTTATCATATACATGTAGGTTGGTTGTTAGATTACCACTAACGTCTTTTTCAAGTAAAATATCTTTTATCTCAAGCTCACCAGGATATATCGTATCGACGTAGGAATGAAAATTACCATTGTTAATTGATAATTCGATATATCTAAATGTCGAATTGGTACCCATGGGAATTCCAATAGATTGTTGGAATACCTGGTCTCCAAAAACCCATAGATATTGTCAATCAGAAACTCTAGCATCCTTCTGATGTCAGCTTCAGAGTATTTGTGTATGCAGTCAGAATGTGTTTTTTGACTTTTTTTGACGTTTTTTGAGAAAGTTATGTTAATTTCTTTTTAAACAAAGCTATCAAAAAAGAATTTTCCACTTTTAACCTCTCGTGTCCTTGACATAGTCCAAATGATCTGATTACGACCAAAGATAAAAAATTCATAATGCACCTTTTTTAGAAGTGCCATATACATGATTCAGAATTTAATAAAAGTTACGGTAAGATCAATATTGAAAACAAAGAAGTGCTAAAGAGGCATAAAAGTATGACCGAAGTTCCAACCCTAATCTCAATTTTTAAATCATCAGAAGATACTAATAAAACGTTACCTGAAGCAGACTCCGGTAGTAGAAAAATAAGGATTCCGAAGCAATATCCAAAGTGCATAAAAAAGTATTGATGTATAGCCATTGCAGAGAAAAATCAGACTAAATTTATTTTTACAAACTGTCTTTAAATACTAACGATTCTATTGCGTCATAGGCACTTTGAATTCGAGAGTTGAAGTGGCAAGGTCAAATAGTGTCACGTGACATAGCAAAGCGGATTCTCCAAACGTTTGTCTGACGTTGAGCCTTTTTGACACGGATCATAGGACTCATTTAGATCTCAAGAAGTTTAGAATTATACAGAAAAACGGCTTACTGTTGACAAAAGGGGTTTATTTTTAGCCAAATGATCAGAATCCAATCTTCCGTTTCTTTATGTTTCAGCGGTTAACCAGTCTACAACCTGGAGGTTAATGAGTACTGGTTGGTTCTCATGTGATTGGATATTTGATCCGATTAAAAAGGTGATAAAAAGAATTACTACAATTTCTAAGAAAAGAGAGAGGTAGAAAAATAATTAAATTTTGTAGAAAAATAATTTAATTTTAGGAACCATTACTGAAATTCCAGTACTTGGAAATATTAATTAAGTCGAATCGTTTTTTTTTTCTGCAAAAGCCCCAAAATTAATTCTAAATACAGGGGATAATATTCAGTGGATGTATATAATTATATTATATCGATATAAACACCACCAGCGGCATTAACTTATGACTGAAGCAATACATTCCATAGTTATTAAGTTTTACAAGGCATGCATGTGTTGAACTTTATAATTTATCGAACAAATTCATGTGACAAAAAGTACAAAACTACAAGTATTCCGGGGAGTTCGTCCAGTAATAATTCTGGGCCAACTGGGAGTCTTCCTTTTATTGTTGATCCAAAGTCATCAAAACCTCAAAGACACAAACATGAGTAACAATTTTTGTAGTTGTATAATTATGGAATTAACATTTTTGGACATTTACACGATACTTCTTATGGAACAGCACATTTTATCACGGATATTAACTGCTCTTCGTAATTCTTCAGAAGATATAGAGCAAGTTTGTCGTTATTGTCACTTCCAATGTCCAGTGAATAGATTATCCCAGAATCGGGAATAAATGTAGAGGACTCCTGAACAGGAAATGACATCACTGATGCTATATCACGTGACTTATGAAACACCGTCTGGTGTCGTGTTAAAATAATGAACTTTGCTAGTTCTTCATTCTTTTCAGAAAACATCAAATTCTGTAAGATCATTGGTTTTTGGAATTTTGAAAAGATGTTAGACACTTTTACCACAGAATTTCGAAACAGACTGTCCGACTTGTTTCGATTGCACTGTACATCCCAAAAAAGTCCGCCATTAAAAACTGTAAATAAGTGCTCCGCAAGTTCACGATGAGAAAGGAAGAAATCATATGGTAGAAAAAGTCCAGCGTTTGGTTTCTCCTCCTTTTCAATTTCAAATCCTCTCAACATTTTTAACGCATGTATAGATTTTAAGGAGATGTCTTTAATATACAAGAAAAGTGCAAAAATTTCACTGGAATTTGTTGATTTACAATCTTCTTTCATGAAACCTGCTCCCGGTGGAACTTTAATTGGATTGACGTCATTAAAATCACTAAATGATTCATTCTTCTCGTTCCATCCAAAAATCTGCAGCCCGTATACCTCGGAAATTTGTTGTAATTTATAATGCTGCTTCTCCGGAAAAGTAGTATAGTATTTATCTATCCACTCCACAGCCTCTGCATGAACGAGTTTAAACATCAGAGCCTCTTCTTCGTCGTCAGGAATGTCCATTTTCACAATCACAAAGTCGTCTGGGTGGGTATTATTCTGAAGCCAAGCGGCAATGTCGACAACCGGAAGTGTAACCATGATTTCCTTTTCACCAAACGGATGTAAACTTATTTTCTCTACCGATTCCGTTGTCGCACTTACCCATGCAGGGCTTATCAACGTGTGATTATCGAATGCTCGGTAAAATGGCGCGTAACTCACATCCGGTATAAAAGAAACAATCAAAAAGGAATCTGAGTCTGGGTATGTTTGAAGAAAAATGTCAATACTTTTAGGATAAGTCCCACCAACGTTTATAAAGTAGTTCTTCGGTTGATAGTCTCTAAACTGTATGCTCATGTCTTTTTTGATGCCGAGACCCTCCCTTTCAGATGGAGGGATGTGAAATGAAGAATACGATTCACTTTTTGACGATCCACGACGCCTTAAACGTGATCCAGAATCCGACCGAGAGCCCGAAAAACGAAATAATAAATGACCACACAGTATTCCAATGGAAAGTGATACGAGGATTATGGGTAGTTTCAAGAAGCGCCCTCTACCCGCCATCACAGACAGCTGTCTTGAAACAGAAGCAGACCTTTTCAATGGCGGTGTATTTTCCATGCCATTCCTTTCAACTATGCAGAACTGTTTATCAGACTTGGCACGACCTCTATTGACCCCTAGAATTTGACAAGTTGTATTCTGATAGATAAAGGAAAGTTTTTACAAATATAGGTTAATCAAGGACATCCTTACATTTCTACTAATCAAAAGATATTTTGAAATAACAAAAATATAATTGTAACATCTTTTACTGATACATAAAAGAACACATATAACATGTATAAGAAAATATTTCTTTATCCTACAAACAGATTGTAAAATTTTTAAATCTGTATGTCACGAGTAGAATGGATTCCACTGGAAGCAGACACTAGTATACACATCTGTTACTCCTCATAACACGTACAGAGGATACACATTATACACTCGTATTCAAATACACCCCTAAAGAACAATTAACTCACTGTATATGAGTTAATGTTTACAATAAAGCGTACATGCACTCTCCTTTGCAAGAGTCCCCTTCTCTATCCGATGACAACGGCAATCAATAACCAAGTCAAACTTTAACACAAAATCCCATCCGTCTTAACAGTACTATAACCGTTGGAACCAAAAACATGCAAAAACTTTCGGTTCTTGGCCCAATATCATGTCGGTTCATTGAACACATTTGTAAGTTGGTTTCCTCGCTCTACTGTCTTCAATTGACCTTTCTCATCTCTGTGAATGTAAGGTTCATTCTTAGACATATGTGAACTGATTAAATTTCCTACGGAATAAAGACTGAAATCGGGTCCACATATAGAGGGAAACCGCTCGAGGCTGTCAAAAGAGGTCTCGGTAAGTCGGTCATTTGGTGATCCTTCTTTTATCTGTTTCTTTATCTCCCTGCATATCAACTGTGGTATCTTCTCAGAGCTGTTGCTTTTATCTAAAAGGCAATTACAGAAATTTCAATCCGGTTGCATCATCGTTGTACTGATACAGAATTACAGCAAGATAAGCATAGAGCAAGATAACACGTAATGCTCAGTACAAAGGTACATTTTGAATACATGTACTCTTTTTTTTAACAAAGTTATATTTTATACAAAAAGATTTATCTATTCAAAATATGAAATAAAATTATTTTTCATGTAACTAAACACTTAGTTATACACGTTATATGAAACAAATTTAGTGTTGTTGTCCATTAATAATTTCATGAAAAATTAAAGCTTTTTTTTTGCTTTCTAGTTGATAATTTTGACAGCAAATATAACAAGTACAAATTATAAAGAGCAAGGTAGTTTAAATTTTGTTCCACACCTTACTTAATTTTCTAGAGAACAAAATTATATGCTTTTGATAATTATACTATACCATCGTAAAATATAATTTTATAGTTTTTCGAGCACTCAGGATCCTTATCTAGAATATCTTTTATTGCTAGGTAGAACCTCATGGCTTGTATGTACTTTTCTCCCGTCTGTAGGCCTGTCTTAGCATTTTGCTCCATTTCATACATAGTATGAATAACCGTAACATATTCACCAACGAAGTAATATTCCTATAATTAAACGTAAAGTTTTAAATGGATCTTTTCAACAATAAATTTATTTTTAAAGTAAGCAACATTTCTTTTGTTCTATTAAATATAAAAGTGATGTACAGCAAGGATGTTGACTTTTCCCTTTATCATTTGGTTTTATCATTTATAATTCATAATCCATGACGAGATAAAAAAATGTATTATTAATCATGTCTATCACTCTCTAAACGCCTACAGATTGATAAGTTTTTTTCCATACCCATCCTTCAATCAGTTATCACCGAATCTCTGTTACTATTTAGTATTAGTGAGCGTAGTGAACGTTAAATTCTTGCTATGATAACACACGTAAAATAAATATTAAATAAACACATCCACCGTAATCTATAGAGGAATATCAATGATAACAATGAAATATACTCACAACACCTTTATCGTCTTTTACACTGTATATGCTATTCCTATACTGGCGAGCTACAGTCCCAGCTCTATTTTTAGTAATAACAGGAAGATGACCCACGTGTTCGATAAGTGGATATTCGTCAGATAGGGAATCACCACATCGGCAGCTTCGTGGAAATAGCAAAAACAATTTATCGCTCATTTTCCCGTCCTTGCCATTTTCATTCCGCCATTCTCTCGCTCTTGCGTTTAAATCTTGAAAATCAATATGATGCATTTATTGAAGAAAAATGCGATAAATGTGTATATTGCATCACTGTATTTCAGACAAAGCATTCATAATTCAGCTCTGTTTATTAGTTTTGTTTTAAAAAGAGACAAAAAAGCAAAGCTAGAAACGGTTTCATAACCTAGCAACGTTCGGCACATCTGAAAGATTTTATTTTTTATTCAAAATTAAACAAAAAAAGGAATCAAGGAGACAAAAATTTGTATAGAGTTTTAAGGATGGTTTCTGAAAGGTAGAATTTTGAACACCAAAGAAAGTTTGCAATTCCATAATGATTTAGATATTTATTTAGTATATTCGTATCATTTACCATTGTCAGGGATTCTAACGAGAGATAGAGAGACAGACAGACAGACAGAGAGAGAGAACGAGTTAAAATGCGAAAACCAATTAACAATTAATTTACATACTCGGTAAAATGATTTTAAGGTATCCAAAATAATATCCCCAGGCAAAACCATGCGCCAGATTTCCCACAGGTAGTAGGGACTCCCATGTGTAGTCTGAATCTGTTGATGAAAGTGACAACAGAATTGAGTTCAAATGCAACGTTTCTCTTTTATTACATTCATGTAGAAGTAATTTCATTTTTTCCATTTTATTCCATTTTGTTTTCTGTAACTTTGTTATCAATGTTTATTATTGTCGTGATTATAAAAATATGGGGGAAAATTCGAGCACATGTGTACTTACTTTTAATGGCCTGGATTATATCATGAATATTCTCGAAATTTTCACTGAGTCTCACAGTTAATAAGTGAGAGGAGGCGGAAGACTTAGCAAGCTTGACCCCGCCGAGCAGGACCGGAACTAGACAAACACGGTTCCGGATATGGGAATCGTCCACGGCCATCACCATCTCAAACTTGCTCCACTCGCTTTGTAAGGAGGACGGCGAAATCACCAGAACCACATGCCGGGAACTGAAAGAAATACGTCATTTTGTGTTAAACATGAGACCCATGGAACACAATGCTCACCCAAGTCACCTCGACAAAGCTTTTCTACATATGAAGAGTTTAAAAGAAGTCGAAAATTTGGGGAAAAAAATTGACTTCATATTTTGGCTGATACTAATCTCAAGGGGATTCGATTATCCACTCTTTTGAATGTTTTAAAATCAGTATGTCTAACATGGCCTTCAGTGCCGTTCCGTAGAAGCATTATTTAAAAGATTTTTGCTGGGGGAATACCATTCCTAGATTTTACATGTAGCCCCATTTAATTATCAGTGCCGAGATTTGTGAGAGGATTTTTAAAACATACCACTTATTCCTTTAATC